ATGAGTGACAGATAACTGTACAATTTCTTACAGATGCTTTGAAATCAGACAAATTTCTCCCTTTAATCCACGGATAAAACAAAACCCACTCCGCAATTTCACCATTTGGGAACATTGTGACGGATTCACTGACTTTGTGAAAATCACAACTGGCTTAAATATAATGCATATTTTTGGCGATTAACAATGAATACACACGAATTTTGAGGCGGATAGAAAGTCATTTGCCCTGGAGTAGGAGGAAGTTTACCCTGACCTGAAAAAATCTTGTTAACACTACACCGGTCACAATCCTTACAGCGTGAAGGTCTAGGCTAAAAGATGGACGTCGAACCAATTGCACTGATGGCAGCCTTATGGGATCCAACTTTTTCAAAACAATATAGACCGTTATCTCTTTTACTAGACGTCTTAACAACACCAGATTTAACCTCATATTGTATCTTCAACGACAGAAATCACTTTGAGTTCCATGCGCTATCTCCAGAACTTATTCTCGGCAGCCGTAGAGGATGAGATAATTCTGGACATCGAGTTGGATAAGTGCTGTGCTACAGCTTCACTCATCAGCGATAAGGAGGAACAGACTCTTGTCAGACAGTTCTTCCACTGCTTCCTAAAAGTAGGAAAGGACAATGAGGAATTTGCAAGAAAAATTTCAACTATTAGTAGAATGAGCATTCCAGCGCCCATTTCTAATCAGAGTAGCTATATAGACGACCGCTCCTTTTAGGCGCGGAATTTGCCCACCCATCTTTTGCATTGTGTTCCTAGGCAAGGCTACCAATTATCCTAGCAAAGCAAAGAAGCTTAGGAATTGCTTATGGTCCCGCACTTTAACAACCACAAGTGAGGACCACTCCCAACACCCTTGCGTCGAAGACCTCCGTGTCATTCCCCAAAATTAGGCAAGGCTTCATCTATCAAATTTTGTTCTGTTCCAAATTGCTTTCAGCTAATTTTTTCTATCTATAGGCGAATCAGCTAAAACGGCCATTAAGTTCTTTCCCGTTCATTGGCACCACAAGATGGGCCGCAAACCTTATAGCCTTCCCTACCTTTTATCAAAGAATTAGATTTGTATCATTACCTGGATGATTACGATCATCAAAAGGAAAGGAGATAGTAGTAGAATGGGGGTCCTCATTGAAGGCTTGTAAATCTAGACAGTATTATATATATCCAGAACTGGCTTGAGTTGTGGTTTTAAGTACCTGTATTTTTGGTGACAATAAAGGTGTTTTGAATTTTGCAGAAGGCACTTCCCTCCACTCATCACGACACTGAAGTTATAACAGCCTTTTTGCTACAGATTGATGACATCGACGGTATTTGCAGCGCTTTTTTTTATAGTTACTCATGTGACCGAATACGGGAGGGAACATTGCGTACTGTAATGTCCTAAATATTTAACCCTTAGTTTTGGCAGCGGGTCACTTAAGTGTTCTGCCATTGGACCTCTGCTAGGCGGCATAGCCATTGGGCCACGCAAGTGGATCCAATTCTTTCTGTAATCCAGCAATAAATATTCCTGTCGTGTATTATATTTTCTCTTTTCCGTAGAGAAGTCGTAGGGCGCTACGTTATCGGCAATGGAAAGCGAACCCGCTCTAAAGGACCTCTCATGACTTCTACAGCTAGGTGATTAACCCCAGCAGGGCAGATGAAGTTCAGGAGCTGTGAATGAAGGAAGTTATGAAGACTTCCAACAGAAAGGATAAAATGAGTCTGTCTTCTGCAATTATCCCACTCCTATGGTCTGCTGAAGACTAGTAACAGCAGAAGCGACAATAGCCGCTATCCACCCAAAATAGTTTGTTACGGAGCTGACTATCGTGTCCACATGAAGGTATCAATCAAACGAACTTACAACACCTCTTCCATCTATCCACTAACTGGATGGAAATCAAGGGATATAGCTGAATAGCTCTAAAATAAAAACAGTACCGGGAATGAATTGAAGCAAAATCTGATCCCATGGACCAATGCGACATCCTTTCCTTTGTTATATTAACTTGCTTTTGAGCCAGTATTCCAGTGACTATCGACGGGCGCGCGTAACGTCCACTACATTCCTCCGTCATTAAATCCATTTTCCAAACAGGGCGGAAATCCAAATTTAGTAAAACTGTCAAGAGGGATCAGTAACTCCGCGATCAAGTATTTTCTCTGTAGCACAGCTATTTAATGAATGGTACGGGTGGCTTGTGAGTGTTTTTCCTGCAGCAAAATTAGGATGTGAAAACTTAGGAGAGAGACTGACTAAGGGCTGTCCCAATGTGACACGTTGAATGTTTATTTACCTCTCGGTTTTTGTGGAGTCACTTGAGCGCTCAGCTGCCGTACCTCTCTTGGGTGGACTTGCTTCCTAGCCATACCAGTAGCCCTAATCCCTTCTGTATGTTGACAATGCATATAAGCACCCTAACCACTATTTGCTTTGCATGTCAACGCTAGCGATGCAGTCGTGCGCGTTGTGCTTTCACGAAATACGAACAAATTTGTCAGCGCATTTCTGCACCAACCTCGGCGAAAATTGGACAGAAAAAGCTAGAGGATGCGAGCTGTTTGCTGTCAAGCAAGACAGCCAGATGGATGTAGAAAAAGTGTTCAAAACTATGTCTAGTGGATGAAGTTTTATTTCTCCAATATGGAGTAAGGTCCCCCAAGCACCCCAGTAGTTCTGTGCGCATTGACACATACGGATATCCAAGAGTTGCACTAGTACCTGAGCGGAAAGATGCTAAACATTTCAATCGAAAGATACCGGTAGACTGCGCTCAACTAAGACGTCCTTAATTTCTATCCGAACCCCTTTACTTGCAGTAGCTTCAAAATGCCTCACTCAACTGCAATCACACCACTCCTTCCAATCTACGCCTACTTGGTTCCAGGGAGAAAGGGTAGACATTGACAACTTAAGTCCTCAGAGACAAATCAAGTGGGAAAACCGACAAGGTTTGGTTGTGGTGGACTACTTAACGAAAGTAGCTGAGGCAGAACCTATTATGATATGAATCGTTAAAGCGGTCACTTTAATTTGTCAATATGGTTGATGGAAACCGTGCATTGCGTTGAAGCTGCTAATTTTGAGAGCCAGCATTTACTTAAATTTGGAACATTTTTGGGACTTCCAAGACATGTAAGACAGATGAAGGTCTTCAAAGCAATGCACAGATGGAAACAACGATTTCCATTCTGACAGGACTACTGAAAGCTTTCACCAAGGAAGCCTGAGCAGAAGGCAACGGTTTAAGCCCTGGATGGTGCCTTCCTGCGTACAGCACGGACCACAGTCCATAAATTAACCGGCTTTCCACCGTTCAAGTTGCAGACAGGCAGTAAAATGATGGTACCAACTGATATTTTTCTACCAAACACAGAAGTAGAATCCCACAATGTCCCAGATTACGTGCCGCGACTAATAGAAGGGACAAGGCAAACCTGCAACATCACACAGGAGCACTTACAGCTGTCATATCAAGCGGAAGAGATGTTAAGATGAACAAAGTCAGAATAGTGTATACTGAGAAGGGAACAAAGAAGAGCTCTAGACTCCCCATTCCACTACCTAAGGTACACCCAATGCACCATCGTCTGTGGAGCAAAGATGCATTCGGAGTGCTGAAAATCATCTCACCAGCAACCTGTCCCATCTCGATTAAAATTTCATACTCAATTTATTAATGCTTAGCACAACACTTCGGATTGGATACACAGATGAAGTCTGCGAACGAAAGAAGGGAAACCACTACAAATGGTATATGCATACCACCCATAGGCGAAGCACCAGGAACGCAGGTCAAAAAGACGAGGTCCATTTGAATATGCCTTATGGGATAGTGGCAGTCACTGAAAACGGATCTTATGACAGAACGACCGTCTTCCACCCCCTTGGATGGGGAATCGTATTCTGAGCTAGCATAACCCCCATCACTGTAACCTATTTATAAAACCACCAATGGAGGATACCCTCATCTAATCAGCCTAGTGCAATCGTTTTGTTGTAATTTTTAGATTTCCATTTTTGCTAGGTGGGAACTATTTGGCATGGACATTTTACTTTCGCCAGGCCATGTCGGTAGCCCTTCACTATGTTTGGTTGAACGACCATTTAAGTCTTAGGAAAATGGCCTTTAGGCCATGCCAATAGCTTTTCAGTCCCGTACATCAAAAATATATTTTCTGACATACTATTGTGATTTCTTACGTCTTCGAGGGCGCTGCAAAACCAATTTCACGACTCGAGTGTACGGTGAGACATACGGTTAACCAAAAGCGGATTTGAACAAAGTTTTCAATGCATCGAAAATTATAATAAAGACAAGCAACACATTAATCAAAATTCCATTAATAATATCTAATGGATTCTTTACAAAATATTTATCAAATTGCAGATGTGGAATACATTCCTAGCTGAAGAGTTTGGTCTACTTGACTGCAAATTTAGCCATTTTAGCCACCGAAGCCGTAGATGGTACGACCGTGGCGTTTGAGAGCGTAGACCACGTCCAAGGCAGTGACGGTCTTGCGCCTCGCATGCTCGGTGTATGCGACTGCGTCGCGAATGACGCTCTCCAGGAAGATCTTGAGCACAATGCGAGTCTCCTCGTAGATCAGCCCAGAGATGCGTTTTACGCCACCACGGCGTGCTAGACGTCGGATAGCAGGCTTTGTAATGCCTTGGATGTTGTCACGCAATACCTTCCTGTGACGCTTGGCTCCTCCCTTTCCCAGACCCTTTCCACCCTTACCAAGACCAGACATTTTCTTAGTCTAAAAGCAGGGTTTACGATAAAAAAGAGGAGGGGGAAGCAGAACCTTCACTTCGTCAATAGAGAGGCCGCGCCAACGGCCTAAGCTATTTGTACCCCTGCGGACAGATGCTGCCTCTGCATCAACCAATCAACGCTCGATTTCTGTCTACTCAAAAACTCCAGCTGTCGTCTTAAAAATCATCTTTCGAATTTACATCATTTGTACTACTACTGCTTATTTTAATCATTTTAGTTATTTTTATCAATGGTATTCCTACTTATTAGCATTGTACACTCAAAAGCATATTCATATGTATGGAAGACGTTTGTTGCTTGTTTTAACTATTAATTTTGGTAGAAAGGTCATTTAGGTGCTTCGCCATTGTACTTTAGTCGTTAGGCTGGCCTTTGGGTCATGCCAATAGCCCATCCCCAACGTACGTGTAATATATATTTATTCTGCCCTTATACTGTCTTCCTTCGCCTTCGGTGAAGTCGCCGGGAGCTGCACGTGCATAAGTGATCTAGAAATATATGTGCACACGAATAAATAAGTGCATTAATGCATATTTACTATAAAACAAGTAAATAGTTACCTAGTACGTAGACAAATGTCTATATACACATATGCATTTTTTTTGAATTTGCACTCCAGGTGAGATGCATTTTGAAAACAGTTTTCTTAGCGGAAGAGGTGTTGGAATTCCTGACATCGACAAGAGCTCAGAACGCACATACTTCTGACCTGTTTCTACCTCATTAATTATTAGTAATTAATACAACTTTACCAAATTACCAACATCGAAAGTAAAGAACTTCATGAGCCGCTTGTTAATCACGTAGATGTATTCTTATGGCAAGGGATAAAGGCGGGACGAACAAGTATTGTGAATCGTACGGTAGATGCTGGTGAAATTAGACTTATCTGGCATACCACCTCCTCTGTTAGAAGCTTCAAACCGTCCGATCAAAGAGGTGGAGTGGGTGTGAATCATAAAGCAGTCCAAGTAGCTATGGACCTCTCCGATTGCTCTTGTAAAACGGAACCACGGAAGTCTACGGGCGTACATCCACCATAGGAAATGGGACGTAACTACGGAGAATGAAGCCTCTTAACCACCTTACACCCTGCACGGGCCAAAGTGGTTTTTACGCTGGACTTAAAACCAGTATAATGATGAGTGTAATTGGCAGAAGCAAACAGAGAAGACAGCTTTCATATTACCGAACAGGGTTTATGAATTTCAGACAATGCCTTTTGGACTCTGTAACACAGCAGTCCATTTCCAACGCCTGATATAAACAACGTTAGTTGGTTTTTTCCCAAATCATTGTGTAACCTACTCAGACGACATCCTCGTCTTCGGTGAAAATATTCAAGAGCACAATATTAACCTGAGACTGGTGTTGGACTGTTTACGAGACACAAGGTTGATGCTGAACCCAAAGAAATGCCGCTTTCTGTAGCGAATGGCGGTTACCGACGACAGTACAAAGTGAATGTGGTCATGGCCTGCACCAACCAATCAGATGGAGCTCCTCAGTTTCCTAGGTTTGGCAACTTACTACAGGCGTTTTGTCAAAGGTTTTGCTAAGATTGCAAATCCGTTGCATAAATTAATCAAAAATATGGCTGAAAAATTTCAAGAGAAGAAATATAATTAGTTGTTCAAAGACCTGAAGCGAATGCTTTGTTCCGCACCAATTCTAGCATAACCCAACTCTGAATCTAGCCCTCCACGGTTTGTACTGGATGCCGACGCCAGTGACGCAGCCATAGGTGACGTACTCTTACAGATGGACAAAGAAGGAAGGGAATACATCATTGTCTACGCAAGTACCAGCCTCAAAAAATAATGAGAAAAACGTGCAACCTGACGCGATCTGTTTGCTAACTTGGCAATGATTCGTTACTTCAGACGTTACCTGACAGAGACGAAATTCATAGTGAGAACGGATAATTAAGCAATTACTTATTTAAAAATAATGTAATGAGGTGGATAAGGTAGATCTTTCACATGGATGCTGGCACAAGGAAATGCAGCAGTATGCTTTCATGGTAGGGTTTAGTAATAGGGCCGTCCTGTCTCCCAAACCAGCCACAGCAGAAACAGGCGACGTTGTCGTCCGTACCATATCATTAAGCACAGATTACCGATCTCGACACATCTCTGGTATACGAGAGTTCCCTTACATTCTGTTATAAACTCACAGTCGAAGAAATGACCTCGTTCGGCAAGGCAGTCAGATGGATTTTTCAAGAATAATAGAAACTCTGTATGGGGGTTGAAATTTTTTGGCACCGATCAAACGTCTAGTGACCTTAGCTCCTAGTTCTCACAGGATTATTGGTACAAACAGCTCTCCAAGAATTATGTGAGCATCTGGGACACGTGCGTGAAAAGAAGATGCTAGGCCTTTGCTTATCCCAAACGTACTTGATTTCTCCCGAACTTGCACAATTTGTAGTAGTTTCAAAAGTCCTCACCTTACAGCGATCGCATTGCCTTCTCCAATCCATTCTCACTGGGTTCTTATGGGAAAGAGGAGACGTTGCATCATGGGTCTACTACCACCCTTCATAGATTAATCCCTGACTCAACACTTCATCAACTTCTCCGTTTCAGCATAATAAGTTAAAGTGCAGTCCTTTATCTGAGAAAAAACAAAGCAAGAAGCTTTTGGCCGACAATCAAGGCCATAAAAAGAGCCACCTAAATTAATTGTTGCTTTATACAAAATGTTCCCCATTAACTGTTAAACCTCCTTTAATTGGAAAAACGTGAAATAACCTACCCACTTATTGTGAATTTGCCAACAACTTGGATGGATTTTTGACCGTAATGCAAATAAGAGACAACCGCAAAGGCTCAGGACTTGCAATCCATCCACTTTATCGGCTTCACACAGGACAAGATGAGATGGCGTTACTGTTCTGTAAGTGAGATTTTAGCATATTGTCTGGCTTCACTTGCTGATTCACAGTTTGCTGATGGTAGATGGGGTACCGAATGTCCTTCACAATTGAATGGGCTTAGTCTCCGTGGCGTGGACTTTGTTAGAATAACCAACATTATAGAAATTGAGTGACTGAGGCTGTTTCTGTGTCCACTGGAACCCTTATGTTGCTACATCCTGCTCAGGAAATGAGTATGAATGTCTGGGTCAGGGAAAGACTGTAAAATGAAGACAGAATTAGGGCATTTCAACTGGCCATCAGCCACTTTCCTTAGTTCGTGCTGACTACCGAGTCTCTCTGCGCTGATCATACAGTCTTCATCACCTCATTTTATCTTCCTTATTTGGCTGTTAGGCAGATTGAACGTCGAAAATTCCTCATCAATAACGTCTTGCTTTAAATGATGGTAGTCTCGTCGAAGTCCCGTTGCTTAGCAGAACTGAACAGAATAAGTTTTTGCATACAACTAGTGTTTACCTATTGCTTCGAGCATTCATAATAAAAAAATTCCGCTCATCATTAGCGTCAGCCTATCAGAACCGGAATTTATCCTCTGACCTGCTGAACCTGAGGTTTAAGACATAACATTAATTTAAATGTTAGCTTAAATCCGAAACTTTTGAATTTCATGTAATACTTGTGACAAAATTAGCGGGCCAGCACTCCTTTCCTATCATCTGCGCAATCTGAATTTTGGAGTTCCCTTGATAATTTCACCCCTTTTGCTCAAATTTCGCATGCCAGAGATTTGGCACTTTATCCAACTCATAATTAAGGAAGAGCCACCTTGTATTCTGCACAAGAAAATGCCTAGAAACTTGCAGTGACTTTAGTTTAGTCTACCTGTAGTCTGAATCCACCCTATCGATCTCTCAAGCATGATCAGCAGGCAAGACTTCACCTAGATGTCTTCTACACTGATCGAATGAAAAGAGAGCTGATACAGAGACAAAATATCATTTAGTAGTAAATAAAAAAAACCTATGTAAGAGACATATATACAGTGGGTTATTTGGTAAAGTGTTACAGCGTGAAGAACTTAGCCAGGACTTATTAAACAGTACTATAAGTCAAGCTGAAAGTACGTCTTTATAAAACATTAGGAAATACTAATACATTGTATGTGTAATACAATAGTGGTTTATCCCTCGGTTCTGGTAAGGCGCCACTTTTGTACTTTGAATTAGCCAAGACGCCTTCTCCGTGCTCAACATGTATTCTGCTCGAGTATTTCGTCTTCTTTCGTCTTCAGGGAGTCCCGGGACGCTACATATGTGCAAAATAATTTGATGTATATGCACTTGTTGTTGCCGCATTACTTGTAGTAAAAATTTCAAATCATCGTGAAATTTTCAGGTGTTTTAAATCATCCGAAAACTGGAAAACAAAATGCTTTTTTACAACCAGACCCGCTAATACATGAATTGTGTACTATAATAAAACATGTAAAATATACCTATTATCTGCTAACTTTTTAGGATCTCAAATTGTTAATATTAATTTAAATACACCATATTTAAGGTTAATGTCAAAACAGACGCGGTAACAGCCAATCAAATTTTTGAGCGCCGTTGAACAGGTGTTGTATCTTACTCTCTCATTAGTGTGGTAACATCGACTCCACGATCAATGGTCAAGTCGTTTAAGGATAAAAACCGGCTAACAAAATAGTAACTTAGTTTACAGTCTTGAGGTCTGTCCTCGATAAGTGCATAACCGGCATTTAGTAGTGATATTCGGTTGTTACAAGAGAATGTACATAGAGAGGCATGCAGTTTGGTGGTCTTTGTGGTTTGAAGAGACGTTTGTGGTAACGATTGTCGACATAGACGATTGCATTTTGAGTTGGCCTAGCCCATATATGTGTCAGAGATGGGATAGGGATCCCACGCCTGCAAGCACTGTAAGCCGCTGGCTATTGGAGTTACCCCTCTCTTCCCCTCTTTCAGCAAACAGTCTATCGGCAGTTGGTGTGGAACAAGACACAACATGGTGTGCGTAGCATTGAAAGAGTTGAGTCACAGCTCAATATATTTGGAATAGGCTCGTACATTCCGTGTCAATACCACCTGTAATGCAATTGTAAGTAGATAAGTGGCAATTCACCACACATCCCTTATGCGGATGCCAAAGGGATCAGCAGCTAAATAAAGAACAAGATTGGGGTAGCGTAATATGTTGCTACTTCAAAACGCTGTAAGATCCCGTGGCACGTGGATTTGAAGTTCTAGGTTGTACGTACACAAGACGTCATTCGTTTCATTAGATATCATGATGGGTGTCTAATTTAGGAGGTTAGGAATGTTGCTGACTTGCATGCGGACACTTTGGTGAGTGCCGTTGCAAAGGTGCCTCTAAATCATGGGGAACGTTAAGTATTCGCGTTTCAGTCTCTACAATAAATGATGATGTAGATCAAGCGGAAAATGTCGTTGGATTCGCCGTGTTCGGTGAAGTTTGCTTAACCCCAAATGGCCCAGTTTGTTACCTCATTAGTGTGGTTGGAAGCTACATCATTAGGTAATTTAAACGGTACGTTTAAGTTTTAATAAGACAACAGAAAATTTGAAGAAGCAGTGGTACGTTTTGGAATGTGTAGCCTAACTGTTAAGTGGTACCAGCTCTGCGAATTTAGGGGGGCCAGAGGTATAGAACTTAGGTGAGGCTAAACGGTGGTCCGTAAGAGAATCACAGCAGTTCGTTCATATTTTTTAATCCCAGAAGAGGTCGGACTCAAGGAGTGAAGCCTCTAATGAGTCCTTGGTACCTACATTTCTCCCTCATACGAGGTAGGCGATGCAGCCTAATCAGCAACCATGTTTGCACAAACTGGCAGGGATTGTTCAATTTGATGACAAACATCTCATCTCCACCAATATTCATTCCAGCAACCTTCACAAAACCGGATGACAATTTAATAACAAATCAACTCTTGGAGCTGTACTGTGAGAAGGGGGATGCATTGGTTTCCAGCTACTTACAAGTGAACCATTTTGGCAACAAGGACATTTTGTATATCAGCAGGTGCATTACTCGCCAAAATGTTGGTCCAAAAGAGAGGCATCTAATGCTCAAAAAAATACCAAATTTTTCTATAAGACTGCCATTCTATGTCGTCCTTCTCCCTCCACGCAATTCCACATTTCACTGCTACGGTCGTATGAAATTTAGTTGGGTAATAAGCTGCAACAAATAGTAAAGTGCTTTCACTGCCCTATGATGGTACTTGAGAAAGTGTATTTGCGTTGTTGTAAAAAGGCAAGAAGGAAAAAGAAGAAGAAGAAGAGGAAGAAGGTAAGCGAGTATCCATATACTCAGTTGAAGGTGGATATAATCATATGTGACTGACTCCTCCAAACAGGTAGGAAGAGGATGCCGTCAAATGGAGGAAACATCTATCATCCTATTGATTGAGCTTCAATTCACCCATTTGGGCTAGTTAGCAGGGTGCAGTGTTTATCAGCAAAAAAGTTACAATAAAATTATTATAGGCTAAAAGATTCGTTACTCCCAAACTGGCTGTGTCTTATTGAGAACATTAGCCAGACACTGATACTGACGTGATGACCAAGCGTTATGGATACCATCAGTGAGTTAAAAAGTCCTAGTTTCTGGTTGTGCATAAAAATGTTTCGGATGGGTAGGATTGTGGTTTGACCTTACATTGATACCTTTTTTTGAGAGTCCAAAAAGCTTAGGCTGTGTTCCATAAAAATTTGTAATGTGTAATTTATCATAGACCGCACATCGACGCGCGATCAGCGATTGCTGCTACTTGCACAGAAGATGAAACACATTCAACAGGACATTTTAATCCACCTGAGTTGCTATTAAATTACAACGGAGTTCCTTCCACGTGAGAGAGGAGCAACATTGCTACAAATGTTTGTTAATTAAGGACATACAAAACCCCACTTGACTAGCAGGGTTTATTTTTGACCATGGAGAGATAAGAAAGCGAGCATCGTAAAAAACGAGCAACGGAAATGACTAAAGTGGCTGCTATCAGAACTCGATACGTGATGTGGCATCCACATCCATATTCGAAAGTTGGAATTTGCAATAAAGTGACGGATTCAATTGATATAGATCCCATTTGTGGAGTATGCACAAAATTTTTCCCAATTGATTGTGGAGCAAACACTGAAATTATTCTTTGATTGTTGCCATCTCAAAATGCATGCGTTCTGCCATGGGAGGAAATGTGGGACAGACACTCTGCTAGAGGGGCATAGTGATTATTTCTTTATAAGAATTATCTACATTTCTTCAAAATGTGGACTTCTGTGTAAACCAAATGTATGCATTTCTGCCAGGGGATATTAATGCCCTGTCGCTGGAATTTAACAGGTAATAAAATCTCCACTCATTGCTTTTCCAAGCAAATCAAATCAAGGCGTCTTGGCTCCGTTTGGAGGCACGGAGAATGCATCACTGGAAAGATGCAAAAGATTGCCAGTTCTATTGGTCTCTAAAAGATTGCTTTTGTGTCGGTGGACTATTTTAAATGACTAAAGTGGTTACCATTCATATTTCATCTGTGATTTGATGCACACACTGTTACCCGACCAGAGAAGGTTTCAGCGAAGCAGATGTTTCAACAAGGTAAATCGTATTTGCAGAGTGTGCGCAAAGTTTTAAGTTGCTTGCGCAAAAAGTGAATCTTTATCGTTGCATAAAAAGGGTGCAGAGAAATGGAGTGACATTTGAGGTAGACGTCGAATCTGGAAATTGGTTCTCATTTTACTGGTTTTCTTTTATCTGAGCAGATGGATGAATTATGCAACTGGGAGGCTTACACTGGCGGATAAGTCATTTAACCCAACAGAATAGTAAGATGGCACTACCTACAATAAGTCTTAAGATACAGAAGTGGTGTAGACGACTCACACATCAAAGTCGTACGTGGGAGTAGTTAACTCGAATGGTCTCTTTGAAACGTAGTAATGTGACAAATTTGACAGTTTGATGGTTGATGAGGACTGGAGGGAGGTAGGAGGGAGGAATTTGTGTTAAAAATAGTTAACAGTCAATCCAAAGGATTTCAAGCGGATTAACAAATACGATATGGAGGCGTGCCATCTGATGGATAGTAAAAGTCCGCCTCATTTACCTCTTCTTTTTTGTTATTGAGAACGTGCGACCCATACGGTTGGCCATGCAGGATGCTACGAGTTGGTTAAACTTGTTTCAAACATCTTAAAGCATTGTGGAAGTCCATTCATATCACAAGAAATCGCAAATTGCAGGGTTGATGTCAAAATTGCATATTGTGTTTCTGCAAGTCTACCTGTCTCCCTTCATTTTTTACACGCAGTATGGCCTGATGCTCCGTGGGAAGGTGAATGCAATGTCTCGTCACAAGGCCAACTTGAAGTCGTGTCTGGAGGAGACAGCAAGTGGTGAACGTCGTGTTTGAGCTGCGTACGACAGCGAGAAAATACTGGGTGCCGCCACGGCGAAAGTGGAGGTGGGGGATGTGCTTTGCGTTGGGATTATAGATGGGCTCACCCGTCATATTACTAACCTTTTGACAGAGGTGGTAAGACACAAGATGCCTAAATGTCGCTGGAAGGAAAAAATTAGTGGTGATTGACAGCGGAGCAAGCGGTCCGAATTGGCTTAACTGCCTCACCCATTTGTACATGTTTCCCTTTTTTTCTCTATTATTTGCTCTTTTCTTCCTTTCCTCTCGCTCTCTGTTAGTTTTTTTCCTCCTCTCTGGTGTTGGACTTGCAAGATGCGTTGGCCAAGCAGAAGTCGCTGGAAATACTTCCCATTGAACACGTGCCCCCTTTACTCACACCACAGACTTTAAAAAGGCAAGCTGAATTCGAGTAAAGTAGGCGGTCAAATTGCGCATACCTTACGAAGGTGATAACTTCCTGAAATCAACCTCGAAATAGGGACGACCTGTGAAACCAGTGTTATTAGCATTCTGCAGTACTGCTACTCTGTCAGAAGGCCACATTTCATCCAGGTGAATGCTATTGTTGATCGTTGACAGCCCCTTTGTTCATTTTGGCGTCTTCTACATGGCAGTGAATGATACCGACATTTGCATTGAGTTTATGGATATGAGACGCCCTAAAATTCTCCCAATTTGCATCAAACAAAGTTGTGGGAGGAAATTGTCATAGTGGATGTCTCCTGAACTATGCTGTTTCTAAGCAATAAATCATTGACAGCAACGTTAACCATTTGTCAAATCAACATATGTGGTCCTTTGCCGTTCTTTTAGTCGTCATCAGCATAAGCTTTTTGGCTTCCACAGGCTTCATATCCACCGGTGATCTCCCATTCCAATATTCCAATTCATCACCATCGGACCATAACTCTGCATGCTCCATTGACCTTTCATTGAAATAAAGCACTTACTTGTGCATTGTGGGTCTTACCAGCATTCTCACGAATTGTCAGAAGTGGAAATTAATCTACAGCCGTCTACAACGAAAATGAAACCTTTTAATTGGCAGTGGCACAACTGCAATTGGTCGTACGCTTCGAGTCCGCATGTACGTTGCGGCGACACTGGTGGATCCGAAGAATTAAACAAGAGCTCTACTACTTAAACCAGCTATAATGTCCGAAAGAAGCTCAGTAGGAACAATAACTCACCTCTGAAAAACACCTTCAGGCTTCACACAATGAAGACTACTTAATTCACACATCAGTAGCGTGACTACTGGTCACACTGCTAGTAATGTCGACTTGGCAACCCTGATCAATGATTGCATTACAAAGTTTACTCACATGAAATGATAATGAGTTAATGGTACTTGCCTACTCTAAGTGTTTTGTGTATTCACCATGCACTGGGACTGTCCCATTACGATGATGCTGCCTTGTATTTCTCAGTGGTTTTGACGTTTCGGTTGACCTGCCCATTGCTGAGTTTTAATGTCACCTAACGAAAATTTAGTGAGAGTACCTTAGCAGTTAATTTCGTGCTCTTGTAAATACTGCAGCTCATTAATTCACCGATGTAGTCTCTGTCACTTTGTGATACCAGCTTGCAGAACTTAGTGTAAAAAGTTGACAATCGATGTAGGATAGGCACGTTCTAAGAAGGGCGACTGCCTTCTCCTCGTTAGTATGCCACCGTATAATCGTAGGTCATTTGGTCGAGGGTAACGCTTTGACTCCCCTGGATAATTGCAAACGCTCTACAAGGAATTTTTTATGAAATAGGTGAACCACTAATCCTTCAATTATCTGGGCTTAAAATGGCAACAAACTTGGTCTCACCTGTCAAGTTTGCGTGGAGGACGAAGCGTCTTCGTCCTTGCTACCCCACTGACACTTGCATTAGCATATCCCATTGTTTTACTCTACATGTGTCTGCATGAGGAGTTTAAACAACTCGAGATCTTTTCAATTTCCTACCCATTAACCCCTCTCCTCCCACCAGTCTAAACAATGACTTCGGCTTTGCGGTTTCTCTTTCTCTACAGTGTGCAACGCCTTGCCTTGCGTGCCTACCTAAGTTGTAAAACTTAAGTGTTTTAAGCTCATCCAAACTCAGACAAGCGGAGTAGCCGAACAATTTAACCTGATTGTAATTTCCTTTGATGAAAAATTTGCTCGAATTCAAAGCTACAGTTGATTCGTTTTAAACAACCATGAAATTCGCCCCTACAATCGACTGATCATCTACTCATTCCATACCCCTGGAGGTTCGTGTGGTCCTTCCTTATGAAAAGGTGGAAACCGTTTTCGCTTTCGAAAACCTAAGGCATAAAGGCACCTCTTCAACCGTCAAGCTCATTCGGTATTGGGCACTTACTTGGTGCTAGGAAAAAAAGAAATTTGCGAGACATTACAAATTGACCACGTTTGTGAACTAGACAGTTAACTAACTTCTTAATGCAACCAAACCTGCTAATTAGGCATAAAGTCCTCTGTTTTGGTACCATTAAACAAATACTGGATTTTTTGATTTGCTTTAGCTAGGCAGAAGTTGTCCTTCTCACCTTAGAAGCAGGTATAGGTAGCAGCAATTTTTGCAAAAAGAAATACGACAATTTACGCAGGCAGACGCTTAAAAGGCCTTGATAGCACGATGCTACTGGCATTTGAAAGAGCAGCCGGCGACGAAAGGTATCCACATCTAATGTCGTAGGTAGGCATGACAAAAACTCCGAAATAGTAGCACCTGTTGGAGATGTCTACTTCAGCCGACGGACCTCGTGACGATCACCAAGCATCTCTCAGATGCCTTGAGCAAATGATGGGTCACTGGTTTGAATGTGTGTTCCAAGATCCTTATGAAGGCAAAGGAAGCACTCGCTTGTTCTAGATCACATACATCTTGCAACGTGTTGGGGTGTAACAACTATGGACCGGGTCCGAGCAGCATGAAGGCTCTGAAAAGCTTAATCAGGCACATTCACGAGATACTTCAACTGGCCGAGATTAATAAATAAAGTACGCTACACTTTTTCCGAATGATGACTTTTTTTCTGAAAAATACTCCACTGACTAGGGCTTGCGGTTGATATCAAGGAGCACGCTGTTCTCCGTCCAGTTGAGAAACGTTAGATTGATTTAACCTCATTCTACGATACGATATTTTTATTTTTAAGGAAATTAATGACCACAAATTTTTCGTGCGAAATGAAGTCGGCATTGGTCTCCACCATGCGGAGCTTAACTTTGAATGACGGAGGAGGGAAAAATGTTTGTAGAGCCAGTGATGATGCGCCCATCCAGGAGTTCACACCACTTGAGTCCATAAAGTAGACGTCATTGTTAAAATAATTTTTGTATACAGACTGAAAAAGAAATCACTGACACGTCACGTGACTGGGCAGCCAGTTATCCAGAGCTGGACGCGAGGCCACGCCGATCCCTTTACTTGGAAGTGAGAGGTCACCGTCATCACATCAATACCATTAGAGCCTTGTCCAGTCAACAGGAGTGAAGACATCAATTTCTGGTGATAATGTCGCTGTCCGAGTTTAAATCTACTCTACTACTCTTATTCTGTTCAGCGACCTTCTTCAATCACAAATCCTCCATGACATCTCTGGATGGGTTGTCGATCGATATTTCCAATGGACCTGTTGAACCTGAAGTCAGTCAATGTCAATCAGCCTGATATTTTACATTATTTTGCCTTGTCACCGACTTCAATTGATTCATCTGTAGCATAATGTCATTCACTTTATTTTGCTTCGTGAATTCAACTTGTCATACTCGTTATTTTCCCTTACAGCTCTCCCATTTAAATGCTTCATCTCCTGCAGGCCACAGGTGTTTCCCCAACTCCTTGTCATTTACAAGGCTTCTTAGCCAATTAAAGCAGGGTACCAGAATTTGCGGTTGCATTGGCATTCATTCGACAAGGTATTATTTTCTTCGGAGGTCTCCTTTCTAGAAAGAGTAAAAACCTACTTGAAAGTGTCGACAGCAGAGAGAAGTAAGTCGGCGCTACCGCATCCAATGTTCCAAATTCTACAGCATGGTTCGTCTCTTCCTGAGGACATTTTTTCGCCTTTTAACATGAATGAGGTAAGTTCATTCAAGCTTTTGCATTCTTTCCACCGCTTCAGCTTTAAGGGACTGGGAGTTAAATGGAAACAGATTTGGGGGAGGCGCAGAACCTTAATGCATCCTCTCCGAGAGATTGCACCTCAAGTGCATCATGAAGCATTCAAAGGTGGCCGTTGAGAGAGTCATTATGGAAGGAACACTGAGGGAGGCGTAGAAGGGTCCAAGTTCCAATCATCAGTTGGGAAGGACCGAATGTCTGTTATTAGTTGCCTTTGGACACGTGATTCCCCTGTGAAGGTGCTGACGGCATTCCACCAGAGGTGAGTTAGTGGAGGAGGAGTGAAGATTGACAACTGGGTGTTTTAATTGGCTTCAGACTTTTTTTTGTAGGAAAAAGTGGTCGTAAAACTTGTATGAACTTGCGATTGAGTGATGCCCTGCTTGCCTCGCGGATCCATTCATCTCGGTGGTCTCAAATTCAATGGAATGGAATAAATGAATGTCTAAATTTTGTCAATGGAAAAAAACATTTACCTCATATGACTTTTCCTCCTCGACTTCCCAACTTGTCCCATTTCACAAACTTGGGTCCACATTGATACAGTCCGTGTACTTACTGATTACTTCACCCTCCTGAAGTGAGTCTCCTCCAGCTGAATGCTAATGTGGGTGTTTTTGATGAGCCATGTCATCCAAAGGAGTTGTGGCAGATGGCATTGTACTTGTCTTTTCTCTTCACCCTTTTACGAAGCTGCCTTTGTGCCAGGTCTGCTGAATACGCAAAACGGTTTAATTGAGTGCGTGCCTCCCACTTGTGTCGATGTTTTGCGTCAAAGAATTTGCACGATTCTCGTGATTAGCATTGCTGCTGGCAAATGAGGCAAATGAGCAGGAAATCAGCCGATCTTAAATAAAAGCCGTCAGTGCGTATTTCGTTTCGCAAGTAGAACACAACGGACGGCGTCAACGATTCATGCAGAAGTGAAAAAAAAACGAACATATTAGTAAATTTCCAACATTAACCTTTTTTTATGCCCAAAGACGACAACGAGTCTACCTCTTCCTTTCACTCACTCGTCTGTCCGTTTGTTCGCGTAAACAGAAGTCGACAGTTGGTGGTGGACGCAAATGCATCACGTTGACGTCTGAGACGAAGTTTACAGAACTCACGGCAGTTCGCGAACCACTGGAGCACTCCTGACTAGTTAGTTGACTGGTCAAGCGACAGTTTCAACAATTGGTGGTTGTGAGGCAGTTGGTATGGGTCTCGGTCCGTCTGCCACAGTCCATTCTTGCACTTTTCAGCTCACTAGACCTTGTGTAACTGCATTCACGATACCGCTCTTGGCATTAACAGTGACAACACCTCCGAGGCGGTTGATGGGGAGACAGATTTTCGAGACACCACCCAACCCCACCTGTCTGAATGCTAAAAACCCGATTGTTGTTGTTGTTTTGGTGACCTGTGAGGTGAAAACTCAGCACGCGCTCATTTCTTTCCACAATTCAATGCCACCAGTCCGTGTCGGAGGAGTATGCATTACTGATGATTAGTCTTGACGATGGCAATGGTTGCGTTGAGCACGCCTCCATTTGGACAGTTCATATTTTCTAGCATAAATGAAACCAATCTTACTACCGCATTCAGCATTGAACAGTCAATCCGGCAAGGTCTGGAGGGGAATGCAAAGCATTACTTTGAGGCTGCGGTCCAGTTTTGCAAACAGGATGTCAATAGATGTATCTTTCACCCTCTCTCCGTGTATTCTTCAACCTCTTGGTGCCAACGAAATTGAATTCAAAGGTCATCGTTGTTTTACAATCATTATTCAAACATGCTTAAGTGCTCCGTTTTAAAGCAACTACACAGGGTTTCATGTCATATTCCGCAAGCATGCTTTTGTACTTACTAAAATGGCGGCGATTGTTGATGTTTTATCGGCATTGTCAAGTCGTCGAAATGGTATTACGTCAACTTTGGCAGATAAGCATTACCTTGTAGGGGGGAGGGGGAAGGGGAGTCCATGGCAAAATTTTGACCTCAGACAAGGTGATAATCTCAGAATAAAAATAGAGTTAGTGGAGATAGCAGCATCGCCTTCCTTTTCGTGTGCACAGGCATGTGGACATGCTCAAAATGATAGTCGAGGGCGTAAATCGCACTTCAAAAGGGAATAGCTCGTTTGATACGCGAACGAAAAACTATCCCTAGCGGATGTGTAAAGTTGACGCGGCGAGAGAAAGTGCAGAGTAGTTATTCCCATTAATTTCTACTGAAAATAGATATCTACGCGCGCTTAACGCAATATCAGACAAATATGTATGATAGATAAATAT